TATTTGAGCGGCTCTCTGAAGTGCTTGAACGCATCCAGTCATATGGTTTCCGTATCCGTGAAGACAAGTGTATATTTGTTACACCAACCATCAAGTTTCTCGGCTTCATTTTCGCAAAAGACGGTCGTCGCCCTGATCCAGAAAATATCCGAGCTATTCAAAAGATGCCCCCAGCTGCAGACTTGCAATCGCTGCGTTCATTCTGTGGCCTAATCAATCATTACAGCGCTTTTCTACCCGAACTGCATCGCCTGTGTGCCCCGCTGAATAAGTTGCTGAGCAAGGGCCAAACCTGAATTTGGACGCCAGAATGCCAGACTGCGTTCGAGCGGGTCAAGTCATTGCTGGCTTCAGACCTACTCCTGACCCACACTGACCCGTCCCGAAAAATTGTCCTTGCCACAGACGCATGGAGTCTAGGGATCGGCGCCGTAGTTTCCCCTAAGTTCCCAGATGGATCTCAAAAGGCGATCGCACATGCCGCCAGGACGCTGACGAAAGCCGAAAGAAACTAGTCAGATCGAGAAGGAGGCATTGACCATAATGTTTGCTGTGAAGAAATTTCACAAGATGCTATATGGTCGCCGCTTCAAGCCGCTGCTGGCCATTTTCGGCTCGAAGAAGGGAATTCCTGCCCATACAACCAATCGACTGCAACGATGGGCACTCACCTTGCTGGGTAATGATTTTGAAATCCATTATCAGTCAACGGATTCCATGGGCCAGGCAGATGCGTTGTCACGCCTCAATGATTCCCAGCAGCAAGAACACGAGTACACCATCCATGCCTCAGTTGAGATCTAACCTGATGTCAAATTCCTGGAGAGCGAGGCACTAAATGGTCTGCCAGTTACAGCCGATGCTGTGCGGGCCGATACGTTTCGAGACCCAATCCTGAAGAAGGAGACACACTTCCACAGCACCAGCTGGCCATTTTCGTGTTCATCTGCCGAAATGCAGCAGTTCTATCAGCAAAGACATTCGCTCTCCATTGCGTCATGTTCTCAGGGAGAGTAGTCATCATGCAGGCGTTGCAAGAAAGAGTGCTGCGGCAATTCCATGCAGGACATCCAGGGCTCAACTGAATGGAAGCGCTTACCCGAAGTTATGTGTATTGGCGGTTTATGGACAGGCAGCTGGAGCAGCTAGCTAGAAGTTGTGGCAACTGCGCTACCACTTCAAGGGCACCGCCGAAGACTAAACTCCACTCGTGGCCTAAACCAACTAAACCTTGGAGCTGTGTTCATGCCGATTTTGGAGGCCCAATCAATGGTCAGAACTTTCTCATAGTGGTTGACGCTTACAGCAAATGGCCCGAAGTGTCCCTCATGAGAAGCACAAAAACCAGCGCAACAGTCTCGAAATTTCGACAAATCTTCAGCAGGTTCGGCTACCCTGAAACATTGGTGACGGACAATGGGGAACAGTTTACTTCAGCCACATTTATGGAATTTTGCCAAAACTGCGCCATCAAACACGGGTGGTCTCCACCATTGCACCCACAATCGAATGGCCAAGCGGAGAGGTTTATGGATAAATTCAAACGCGCTCTCCTCAAAATCAAGGACGGAAAGAGACATAGAGGAGGAGATCGACCGCTTCCTCTTTCTGTACCGATCTACACAAAATCCATAAACGCCGGGTGGAATATCTCCAACAGAGGCAATGATGAAGAGAAAGCTTCGCATGCCATTTGATGCAGTTCGGCCGTCCCCAGAGTCCACAGCTGGTGAAAGGAACATCAAGATGGAACGTGACTTTAATCGGCGGTATGATGCTAAGCGACGTTCGTTTAAACCGTGTCAACCAGTACTTGTACGTGATTACCGGGATGGACACGCAAAATGGACACCAGGCACGATACAGGTCAAGCGCGGGAACGTGTTACAACGTGCTGGTTGGGACGCAAATGTGGGTATACCATGAAAATCAAATGCGACCAACACTGTGTCAGCCACAAGCAACAGAATCCGCCGAACTTCCATTTGACCTGTTGACGGACAGCTTCAACTTGCCTAACCAGCCCATAGAAGAGTCCTGTCCTCAGACGAATGATATCAGACCGCAGAGCACGGAAATTGAATCCAGAACACTACAGCCAAGTTGATGGACCGATAGGCGTAGAACCCTTCTCAGGAGGTTTCAGGTCAATCCCAGACTAGCAGCATACACCGCGGCAGCTGTTTCAGGAGGGAAAGTATCCGGAAAAAGGTAAAAACATAAAGGAAAACCATTATTTTAGCAAGTAATCAATTATTTTTAATCGTGCATTGATGTCGAAGATTCCGGAACCTTCCATTACGTGATCGCCAGCATACGGAGTTTTGGCAGGGAGGCTACTACTTTTACCAAGTGACCTTCGTTTTCTAAAAGCCGAAGATCATTGAGCCCCCTATATATTTGGCGTCGGTCTGACGCAGTTGTACAGCGCTTTGGTGGCGTTTATGGTTACGTTTGGCAGCGTTTTTGTTAACACGTTTTTCGCGGTCAAGGTCGTTGGACTTCTGATTTTTCTTCGACTGGGCCAAAATTTTTGCGGAGAAATGTTTGGGTGTTTAGTGCGGAATAGCGAGGAAAGTGAAGATCTAACGCTGGCTAGTTGGCATCTCCCTCTAGCGGTCATGGGTTCGATCCCCATTAGGAGACCGAGGGAATGCGCACTACTGTCGAGGCCTAATAGGGCGAAACGCGTCTGGTGCTTTTCCGGAATAGGCTGAGCTATGTAGCTTGTGAACTATCGAGATGAATACCTTTAAAAAATTACAACCAAAATCCTACTACTTGCTAGTAAAACTTCATCTATTGTTCAGTAGAACTACAAAGATATGAGGAAAAGCGAGATAATATATTTATAGAATACAAACAAGCAGGTAACAAACGGCTTAGAAACATAATAGATACAAGTCAGAGATCGTGGCTGAAGGGGAAAGATCAGCGGCATGGGGAGGGACAAAGAAACTCTCAACACATACGCCAGTGAGGCCCACTCCTTACCAGTTCAACTAGTGTATCCAACCAGACGTATTCATCGTCATCCGGTCCCCGGACCGGCAGTCGGGAGACACCAACTGGCACCAAGTTCGAAGTGAGGGCCTTCATTCCTCTTGAAGGAGTTGTCGCTTGGCCACCCGTTCCATTCCATCCACACCCCGGTCGAATAAACAAGGCACGACGCGGGAGTCGGTGTGCTGGGATGGGCAACACGTAACCCAGCCATCAGAGCCTGATGCGGAACGCTGCTGAGCGGTTCCATCGCTTTTCCTGCAGCAAATACGACACCGAACAAGTCTGTCGACTTGATGGGCCAGGTTTCGCAGCCGCACAGGAGGGTTAAACGGACGGCTGCAATAGAAACGGCATTTCAGGGCGACACTGATGTCACGCCGGCGCCACCGGTGGCGTAGTGTAGGGCGTAGGCAAGTTAATCTTAGTGGTGTTCCGCATGGCTCAGTTTTAAAGCCCTTGCTGTTAGCAGTGTAGGTAAATGACGGGGTACTGTCGCTGTTGTTTACTGTTGAACACAAACATATGAAACGTGGAATCTACGGTTGAGGATTTCAAAACAGTTGAGTGCGCTTGAGTGGCAATTTCAAACCTTCTACTTTGCCTTACCGGCCTGCATCTTCAGCTTACTCTTGTTCGTTTCTTTTTAGCTCCACCCATACCTTGGTATTATCATTATTTAACTGACATTTTTCCTCTTGCCTCATAAGTTACATTATTTCTCTAACTTCACGCAACTAGCCCGGTGGGGAGGGCTTGACATGATACTTGGGCAGTAAACTGGTTGGTCATGGGGTGATGCAGTTTTTATTTTAGTTTTACCAAATCGCAAGTCTCACTGTCAATTCTCGGTCCAACGATACGCAAAAAAATATTTGCGGGATTATCTTATTATTCCGATCCCAAGTGAACATGCATCAGCAGTACGCCAGTATGCCATACCGACGCTTTGCTGTCACGCAACTAACACCAGTCAAGCATAAGCTAAGGATACTGCGACAGTCGCCTCGTCCCCTAAGCAGGCTCGAAACGGTGACGACCGGTTTGCAAGGCAGACGTCTTGACTTTCCGTTTATGGGCCAGCTTCGTGATAATACCTACTCTCTTCGGATTCAGAAGCTAAACTACTTCACAATGGGAATGACATTCTCGTCGCGATCTTATCTACACGAGCAGGATCATAAGGGGATAAAATGGGAATGAGCTATATAAACACCTTAGGATTAAATCCAACAAGCACAACAGAACTGTCAGGTGTCCGGAACAGACTAATAGGTTTACTCAGGCACTTGTTTTGTCTTATGTATCAAAACAACTGCTAGCAGCAATTCTTGAGTGTGATAATTTGGGGAAGATGCTGATATCCTTGTTTTTTTCAAATAACAAATGCGTATCGACGAAGTGTGCTGCGTCTATGGTATTAAAGTGTTGCTAGAAACGCGATATATAGGGTCAAGATAATAGGCAATGTGAGGCAATGCGTTGGGGATAACAGAAAGACATAAGTGCAGCGAAAAAGTTCTCTGACAGTCCGGTGTCAGTCCAAAACATGTTCACTTAGGGCCTATTCTGACTCTCAACGGAATTCCGTACCAGTAGTGACGTGGGCAGCTCAACATGGGGGCAAAAATAGTTGTACAAGCGAATACCCTACTTCCGTTCCGAGGCTGTCAGATGCACCCGTGGTGATGGAGAACAATGTCGATGAACAGAAAGACGAAAGTTTCGAAACGCTGCAAGATGGTTAGCTAATGAGTACGGCAGGATTTCGCTGTTCCTTCTGCAACGGCGACGATCCCCAGAAAAATGCCATCTCGAAGGCACGTGCGTCAACCCTGCAGTGAGTAGAAATTGACGGAGCTGACAGGGGTCTGCCTTCCTGCTCTCTACATACTAAAGAACCTATGAATATGGAAATAGTGCGACGTAAAAAATATCTAAAAATCGAACAACCATTAGTTATAGTACAGGAACATGAATATAACGCTTTGACTTACAGCGGCAATACAGTAAGTTTATCACTATCGTCATAGTTGCTGTCGTCCTCCATCCAAAATTGAGGGGCCAACTGCTTCACGGTGTCAAATAACAAAGCGTTTAGGTTGCTGAGAGTAGAGTGTGGCCCAGTTCGAAAGGGGCAAGATGTGGCTTTAAATAAAGTGAGTTAAAACACAAATTACTTAGGTAGTAGTAGTATGTAGTAGTATGCCTCCGGTCAAGGGTTCCGGGAGCTTGTGTTCAGGGCGTACAAGGTCGTAAAAGACCGAGGGGCTGAAAAGAAAAACAGATACTTCGTAGCCAACTGGACGGTTTCATCACTACCACCTAGTAAGAGTCGGAGCTGTATAGATGATGTACCTGACCTAAACCTCGTGGCAAGCTGGGCGGCGTTACTACTGCCGCCGATGGAGGAGCGAGTCTGAGATGATTAGATTGATGGCAAAAAAAACGCACGAAAGATGGATGATCTAACGACCGAATAAGAGATGGGAAGGCGAAGAGAAGACGAAATTAAAATGGCATTCTAGGCTAAGCGCGATGATACCTTACCCGTTGACTTACTACAGCGACACTGACGCGCTACATGACCATTCTCTTATCAGCCGCTGTCGTCAGCGCCAATTGAATCCCTGACCCGTATCAACTTGCTGACGCACAGACTGATGAGCGCTGTGATAGGCGCGGAAGATTCCACGTGAGGAAATGCTAATGATCGCTGCAACGGCTGCAGTGCTGCTTCAGAGACCGGCGATATGAGCTGGCAGGGTAGCCAAATATGTAATAAGTGTCCGGTCGAGGGTTCCGAGGGATTCCGTGTTCAAGGCGTACAGGGGTCGTAATAGACCGAGGGGGCTGAAATGCAGAACAGACACTGCTGGACAGTTACACCACAACCACCCAGCAAGAGTCGACCTGTATGGATGGTGCGCCTGTAGCGAAATCCCTCAAACACCACCAAGCCCTACTGACATTATACGTAAATGGACGCCATAAAACAGCCCATGCGCGACTGGTGGTGGTCGCGCGGCAGCGAAGCGCCGTTACGGTGTACAGCTAACGATTCATTCATTTTCCTGGTTATATGCTTGCACATTAGGACCGACTTTCGTTGTCGCTGATACATGTGTGTGGCGTACCCCTCGCTCGTTCTCACTGAGTTCGATTACGACCCACCGGGTTTTACTATGCGTTGTGCGACGACCGTTGGAATCGTGTATCACTTTTTTCAGCATATCAATAGGGCTAGTAGATACTAGTCCGAGACGGTGCGCGTAATGCGGCGCGAATATCAGGAGGCAATTAAAGTTGGACACAGTAGACTATATTCCATGGGCTACAAAAAGACGTAGACGAATGAAGCGAGATAGGAATAAACAGCATAGTAACTTACAGAGTAGACAAGTGTCGAGTTGGACGTAAGAGTGAATAAAACAAGAAGTATTAATGTACAATTGATCAGCAAGGAAACCGCACATTGGGGGGCTACAGAGCTCCCCACCCAAAAGATTGAAGAAAAAGAAGCCTTCGATGTCGAAAATGATGGGTGAATCGAAGTATGTTGGGCAAAATCCTGCCGAGTAAAGGTTAGTGGGCGTTCGTGTCAAATGAAGGTTCGCCGGAAATCGGAGTCCACTGTGCTGTTTGTTAGTTATGATTTATTGATTGCAGGTCAGGGTGCATTTCGGCGAGCCGTTGCAGCGGGCTTGTCGTAGTTCAAAAAAATGGCTAATCCAGAAAAATGGCCGACAGGACCTTAACCCTGCTGCTGTTAAACGGTGCGTTTAGGTGTGGTCTCTCCCCCCGCCGTATCCAACACCCCGCGCCAAAACGACCCTCGCCCCACGAAGAACGCCCAGTTGTCGAGTTTGGCTTCTTATTGTCTGTGGCGATGCTCGAACGCGTTGCTCGTAAGGGCCGGTCGGTAGGGTGAAAGCGTCGGTTTATGTATGAACGAAATCAAAAATAAAAACACGCCGAAAATCGAAAACGATAAAAAGAAGTACGTTACGTGCAACACAGTTTAGGTTTTCCGGTTTTAAGTTATTTTTTAGGTTTTCCAAAGCTTTTGATGGTTTTTGGGTTTTCAAAACGCTATGCTACCAAAAGATTGGAGTGAGCGTAAACAATATTTACAAATTATATGTATTACACTGTACACAGTCGGGAAAATAAACGGGCCTACGAACCTCCCGACCACGGCGTTTAGTTATGGGAGGTGATAGGCTAAGTTCGGAAGATGTCGGGACGGCTGATGCATGTAGACCGGGATCGTGGTCTGGTTCGACATTAGGATGTTGAAAAGTGGTGCGGTTATTTGTAACGCCGCACGAATCTTTGCTAGACGATGGAAGCGAGGTATTTTCTTCCATAAAGGCTGGTTTGAGACGGTCGATGGTGAAGATTTCGCGTCGGCCACCGCGGTCAAAATTAAATGTCTTAATTGTACGGTTGATTAATTTAAAGGGTCCGACGTACGGCGACTGCAATGCCATCGCACACCGTCTACGCGAAGTAGTACGTGTGTGTAAGTAAACAGTTTTCCGGACACTACACAGGTGTTCCCTGCAATCTTGAAAGGGGCGGGCGCAGCTCATGCATCTGGTGAGGCAACCGACCAGTGTAACATCAACAGCCAAAAGATGAAGTGGACGATGCTTGTGCTACCAGCTGTCCAAGCAAACGCAGCATGCAGCAGTAAACCAGCTACGCTGGTGTTGCATCGGAATCGGTTTTAAATGTTCATAAGGCCAATGAGGATAAGAGGAAGAGTTCCGAACCACGAACGGTCTGTGTGCGCTTGGAGCGCTACCTTCAATTAGTGATGAAATCGCCCTACCATACAGTCAGCGGCCGGATGATACGCGGTCGTCTGGAAGTGGCGATAGGATAAATCCCTAAGCAACGTGGAAAATGGACGAGAAATGTAACCTTAGATGGGTGGTCACGATGGCGGGACAGCCGTACTGAGCTACCGAGCGCTCTAAATAGGCATTTGCTACTGTTTCCGGCTATTCCGGAATAGGAATAGCCTCTGGCTACCTGGTCAACCGGTCGATGCAAGTTAGTAGGTATACCGAGCCTTTCGTAGGCGGCAGAGGACCTACGAGGTCGGCGTGCACGTGGTGAAAACATGCGCCTGGCGTCGGAAACGTGCCTAATAGGCTTTCCGTGTGCTTCTGCGCCTTAGCGCATTGACATGGAGGGCAAGAAGCTGTCCAGGTACGAACGCCACGATTGGAAGTGCACCAAACGAATCGTGTGGTTACGAGCTTAACGGATGCACGAACGCCTGAATGAGACAGGCCGTGTAACGTGTCGAACATGCTCTGTTGAAACTCGCGTGGGACGACGGCGCGGCGCGTCGAGATTAATCGCAAATTATGGTTCCATCTTATGGTGTCAACGGAACGAGTCATATGTTCAGTGAGAGGGACCTGCGTAGTAGATGAATCTCAGGATCATTGAGTAGCGTTGCGGCCATGGCTGCCAGATCGATAGCAGTGCCGGCCTCGGCGAAGATCGCTCGAATTCGGGAAAGTGGGTCGGCGACGGCGTTGTGCACACCTGAGACATATCGTACACTGAGCGATATAGTATAGGTGGCGCGACTTTCGAGGAGAGTAGTCGAGCCGAGCGCATAAGTCAGGGATTTGCGGTCGGTGAAGACGATGAAAGTGTTGCCTTCTAAGACATGTCGAAAATTACATATGCATAAAGAGATGGCTAATAATTCTCTACCGAACGTACTGCAACGAGATTCAGCAGGTTGTAAGCATTTGGAAAAGAATGCCAGCTGTTGCCAAGCGTCACTTACTTGTTACTGTAAAACGGCATCAAGTGCGGCGTCAGAAGCGTCCGTACTGTGTGACAGTGGAGCTGTCAGGGCGTGATGCGCAATAGAAGCGATGTTGGTGATAGAATTTTTCAAAAATTGGAAGGCGGCGCGTGCTGCCTTATGCCTCTTAAGCTTCCCTCGGAGAAGTTCAATGGGGACCTGCATAAGCGAAACGCAACTAGATATGAAACAGTGATAAAAGTTAACGAGGCCGTCAAAGCGTCTTAGTTGTTTGAAAGAAAAAGGCTCGGGATAGTTCATTATGTTTTAGAGGGCACAAGGGGAGTCCCATGCTAGTCCCATCGACTCCAGATCAGCACGAGAAGCAAGTGCGCCTTAGCGACCCAACAGTCCTCAAATGAACAGGCGTTGCAGAGGAACTGTGTTGGCCAGACATCTTCCGCAGATGGGAATCCACAAGCCACCTGAAACTTTCCTCAGTCTGTGCGCTGACGACGGTTTCTGGGAGGCTGTTCCGGTCGTTTACCACCCAAGTAGAAAGGGCGACGGCGGAACGGATGCGGAGTATCCTTGGTTTAAATACTTTCTAATTGTGACCTCGTGTTGGGCCTCATAAGTTGAGTTGGAAAAACCGTCGCAGTTCATTTCCAAGTTCACTTGGTAAAGATGATAAAGATGGTGGATGGATTGTAAAGATGAGGTCTCAACGGCGGCGACGGTAGTCCAGTGAGAAGAGGTTCATTTCTTGGAGTCGTAGAGGGTAGGAGAAATTCCGAAGTCTGATGACAAACGTTGAGCCTAGTTCCTGGACCCTTCCAATTAGGGTGCATTCTAACTTTGAAAGCGGAAACGTAGTCGGTAGATCGTACACAAGAATAGGTCGTAAATGAGAGGTGAGTAGTAGCCTGAAGATCTTTAGCGTCATCCGAGAGAATGATCTTCTATAGCATCCCACATCCTGTTAGCAGCGGCCACTCTCCTTAGTGTGTCCTGGGTGGTTTTCAGAGCAGAGGCAATTAATAAACCTAGGTCTTTCTCCAGGGCGACATTCTTGAGAAGGAAACCCACAATATGGTAGGTGCCAAGCGGATCAGACGCAACATTCTTCGTAGTTTATCGGTAGGCCTCACTTGATGGACCAGTTATGCAACAGATCAACGGTCACCTGCAGTCGATCAGCGAAGTCAAGAACAGGCACTTCAGACAACAGATTAACGTCATCGGTATAGATCAAGCATTCGGTTCAGTGTTGCAGGAAGATCATTGATATACAGTTGGAACAGTTCGGATACAAGGACTGATCCCTGTGAAAAACCGATTGTCATGAGCATTGGCTTGGAAAGCGTCTCGTTTATTCTCACTTGTATGGTCCGGCCTTCCAATAAATCGGCAATAGGCTGCCACTAATACTGATTCGCATAGGCTTCCCAAGTAGCCGGTGGTGTATGACTTTGTCGAACGCTTTGTCAAAATCGAGGAAAACCACATCTACGCGTTGTCCGGCGTTAATTGAGCTCGTCCGTTTTTCTTTTGCCAATGGCAAGTTGGTGGAGCAGAAGAATCCCTTCTGGAAGCCATGCTGGGTGGAAGAAGTGATGTTATTTTTGTAGCAGTGCTTCTGTAGAGCGCATTTGATGGTCTTTTCCGTAACATTACAGACGATAGATGTCAAGCAGATTGGTCGATAATTCGCAGAGTCCTGGTGATTCGCTTTTTTGTACTTAGGCATTACAATCCCAGTTTTCCAGTTGATGGGTAAACGAGCAGCCTTCAAAGACAGCTGAAAGACATGGCAGATAGGTGAGGCAACGTAGTCAGCTACTGTCTTGAGGAAAAGGGGATGCAAGCCATCAGGGCTAGATGAGGAGTTCGAGTTTAATTCAAGCAAAAGTTTCAAAACCGTCCGGCTTGGATTTACAAAGTTCTAGGCGGTAGGGGTGCGTGGATTCATGTATGTTGGTCGACTGAGCTTGTGGCAAGTGTCCAGAACGCGGGCACCGTTACTCGATGGCGGATT